AAATCAAGAGGACAAGTTCAAATCAAATTTCCGTTTGCCGCCATGGATTCCCGCGCTCATTTACACACTCACACAAGCACCCAGCGCCAAACCAGGCTTCACTTTTTCCCCGTACTTTTAGATACAAGCACTCCGTCTTTTATGTCTTTGGTTTTGGACTACGTTGAATTATACGTCCCGGAAACGTAGACAGCGAAACGGCGAAAGAGCGATTTTAACTTTTTAGGTTAGGTTTACAGAGCAACGTCCCTTTCCACATTCCTGTTACGTCGCCAGTGAGACGTTTTCGGAGCACCCCTGTTCTTCCATGTTGATTACTACGTAGAAATTGTAAACGTTCCCGGAATGTTTCAAGGTCTCCGTTGATTTCCACGTTGCTGAAACGTTCGATGTTATCTGGGGTGCCTTACAGAAGATTAATTTGTAGTTTAATGTATAGGTATTGCTGTTACCACGCGACCAGACTTATGCTTTGCGGTATCTTTATTGAGTAGAGTACTTGACAGACTCACAGCTGCCTGTTAGAAGGCCGGTAAGAGAATCCTAAGGTACTTGAGTGGAACCAAAGATTTAAGTTTAGTATTTAAAGGTTCACCTCATGATGAATCTCTTACTTGCTATACTCAGATGCTGACTGGGCTGAGAATGAGAGAGACCGCAAGAGCATCAGTGCCTGTATGGTTTTTGATAGCGGAAACCCAATTACCTGGTTTTCTAAAAAGCAGAATTGCGTAGCAATTTCCTCAATAGAGTCCGAGTTGTGTACGCAGCTTCTATTGCTGTACAAGAACTTGTCACCATCAAAGGAATTTTAACAGATATGAATAATTCTCCTAAAAATATTGGACTCCTTTTAATAGATAATGAATCTGCTGAGTCAGCAATATGCAACTTTGAAAATTCAAAAAGGGCTGAGCTTATCGATATAAGGGCACATTTCATTAAAGATTTGTAAAACAAAAAGGTTTTTTTTTAAATTCAACACATTCCTAGCTCTGAAAATGTCTCCGATATTTTCACTAAAGCTCTGCCCAAAGAATTATTTGTAAAACATAAAAACAAATAATTCAGGCTGATATCAGTTTGACTCAGGGTAGTTTATAAAACATAGCCTTACGTCAGGTTGATTCACTTTTACAAGGGATGTCACGTAAACAATTCAAAACTTCATCCTCCTGGCTTTCAAATCCGGCCGCCATCTTGGCATTTGGAGCAATTCCTTTGACTTGAGGGCTTTTATGACTTTATTAATAAAATCTACGACCAAAGTTACACAGGAATTTACACTTCACATGACACTGTATGCGAATTTTAAAAAAAATCGAAATCCCAGAGGCCTTATTATGGCCGCCATTTTGAAATTTAGGCAATGGGGGGGGGGTGTTCCGGGATCGAACCGTAGTAAACTTTTGGTATGTTGTTCAATAGGACCTACTGAAGACGTTTACATAGGAAAAGTTTGTTAAGCAATTTGTTCCGGGTTAACCGTCCTTTTTTCGGATTTCTCCTTGACTAACCCCCCAAAAACCCAAAAGTCGTGGATTTAAGGATATAAATTTTGGGCAATATGCACGAATAGCTATCTGCTGACACTTCATTGACTAAAAATTTAAAGGATATACATTTACGAGCCACAAAAACAGCCTAACTCGACTCTTTCAGCGCCTTGACCCGAAATTCCCGCCAAAAAAGCGAAAAATCGCATTTTCTCAAAAACGGCCCTACTACAAATTTCACAGTTTGTTGTTCGTCAAACAGTAGGCCTTCTAGTTGAAATTTCCGCAAAAAAATCGCGGGAGGTATGTTGACCGCATTAAAAGTGTTTAAAACGTACCGTGCTAGACGAACGAAAGAAAAAATAAAGAAAAAAAATGTAAGTACACCTACTGTAAATATTGTAGATTCTTTCTTTTGTTTTCTTTGTGAATACATACCTATACGGTATACTTACGAGGGTGTACGACTCTCATGATTAAGAAGATGCGCATGGATCGCACATGTCGATGACGCTAACCTTATGTATCTATTACACAGGCCTTTAAACTTTTGAGTCACGGTCACGTCATGTTTTTAGAGATTAGCAGCTTGATTTTGATGATGACTTTTTTGGCGCTAAGTCCAGGATGCATTCCAAACAAATTTTCATAAGTCAGAAATTTTTGAAAGTCATCTTTTTTTATGCGTTATTTTTTTAGGAAAATTCAAAACTACAAAAACTACATGCATTTGTGAAAAATCCTGACAAGATGGAATACTTTCAAAATATTTTTTGAATTCAGCACTTAAAATTTGTTTACAGTCTTGAGGAATGCGGAGTTGGGTGAGCGGTCCGATGTATTTGTTTATGGGTTGATTGGCTTCGGCGAGCCTAGGTTCTCTCAATAAACCAATGCGCTTGCTTCTTTATCTTTTGTAAAACGCACCGAAAATTGTCTTGATATTTTTTTTCTTTTATTTTTAAGGTGAAACGTGGATGCCTGGAAAAGACAGATTCGGAGTGAAAAATTAGGTATTAAGGTCAATTTTCCAGAAATTCTGTTGAATGATTTCTGGTAAAAACTGATATTCCACATGAAATTAAGAAAGTCACTCTCAAAAATGTATTTTTACATCGAAATATTGCTTGACTAAAATACCAAATACCTACTACCTACTACAAATTTTCCTTCGGGAAATACATAAAAGAGACTTGCCAGTTACCTAATCCGCCATGGCAAAGTGTTACCCATTCGTAATAATGCATTTTATGCTGTTTTTTTTTTAAAATTATAAACTATTTCTATTTAGCATGTTGCTGAAAATTTGCTTTTTTTTCTTTTTTTTAAAGATCATTACTTTGGTGCGCCGTTGGAGCAATACTGGAGACACTAAAAATTCTGTGATCTACGATCTACCGCTGTTATATGTGGTGACAAATCCTGTGATTTTTAGAGTACTGTGTTGTACAGGATGGGCGAAAAGTAACTGAAAAGTGTCTATGACTTTCGCAGGGTGTCTACTGTATAGGAAAAGTACAATTACACTGGAAAAGCACGAATATCGAAAGGGCGGTACGGAAGTACGGAAAAGGTTCAGATTTTCTGGAAATACATACCAAAATTCCTAATAAGTTCCCGGTTCGATTCCTCGTGTTTTTCGGTTTATTCCTTCGTCATTCCATCATTTCACTTTCTTAATCCGAAAACAGTTAAAGATGCGTGTGTGGTGTGGAAAAGATAAGAAAAAGATAGGGAGAAAGCAAAGATCTTTAAAAATCTCCCAAAAAAAAAAAAGAATTTTCAGGGAGGTAAGGAAAAAGCAAGTAAGAGGCACTGAATAAGTAAGGAATTTGAATGACAGGGCACCAATAGACACGTTGCTTAGAACAAAAATAGATACAAGGCTCCGGTTTTTAACAGTTGCTCATTGTGGCAAGGATCTGGTTTTTCTTAATGGATTCCATTTTTAGGGCCTCCCAAGGGCCCCCCCCCCCCCAAGAGGGGATACTCGACATTTGAAAATGACAACCCCCCTTTGTGACACATTGTTGGAAAGAAGATGAAAAAAAGTAAATGCTCGCGGAAACCGGAGATAAATCCAACTTTCCGCTCTCGAGGTATTCATGATCAAAGTTCCATGTCGTTAAATTTTCAAAAATTGATGAGTCCTATTTGAAAATCCCCAAGAGGTCGTCAACACAGCTTAAAATTCATTGAACTCCTACTGCTTTCATAGCCGAACCATTTGAGGATGTATTCCTCGTCGATTNGGGGGGGGGGGGGGACGCTCGCCGCTTAATAATGCGTCATAACAGCGTCGATTTTGTCTGTCTTAAAGAACGCACGAGACGGAAAAAACGACGCCGTCATGTCGCAATTTCAGGCGGGGAGCAACCCCCCCCATTGACGAGAACTATATCCTCCGTTGATCCTGCTATGAAAGCAACAGCAGTTCTACGAATTTTAAGCCGGCCTTTTTGGGATTTTTCAAGCAGGACTCATCAATTTTTGGAAATTGATCGATATGGAACTTTGATCGTGCCTACTTACCTCGAGAACGAAAAGTTGGATCGATCTCCGGTTTGCGCGAGCATTCTTATTTTTGTACCATCTTTTCCAACCATATGTCACAAAGGGGGGGTTGCCATTTTAAAATGTCGAGCTTTCCTCTGGAGGGGGGGGGGCTCCCTAACAAAATCAGCCCCTCAGCACGGTCAGTAATGGTCTAAATTAGAACTTTTTACCTCTTTATGTTCAAAAGTCATAGACCATTTTTAGTAACTTTTGGCCCACCCTGTATATCACAACATTCTATGAATCACAGGATTCGTCACTAGGTATACAGGGTTATCCAAAAGTCACTGACCACCCCTGTAACTTTTTTCCAAATTAAGATAGAAGTTTCAAACTTCTATCTCAATTTGGAAAAAAGTTACAGGGGTGGTCAGTGACTTTTGGATAACCCTGTATATCACAGCGGCCTGCGTACATCGCAGGATTCGTCACCAGATATCATAGAATTGTTAGTTTCTCCAGTTTGGCCCAAATGGCGCACCGTAAACTACCAAAATGTTAACATATTTAAGGGGAAGATTTGGGACCCTACGTTTATGCAAAAGCTACAGCATAAATTAATCTATGCGCTGTATCCCACAGAATCCGAAAACCAAGATTAAGTAATGCTGTAGATGGTTATAAGTACCACGCTTCTGTGAATAAATCTATTGTTATAGTCGAAAAATGCGTATCCGCATTGCAATGTTTCAAAATCTCCGACTAATTCCCATTTTTTAAGAAAAAACTGCCCAAAATATTTTCTTGGAATTTTCTGCGCATCTGTTTGAATGATTAAGGAGAGTTCTGAAAAAATGTAAAGAAAAAAATAATTTGGTTTGTAATCTTTTAAAAAATGAATTTTAAGCTGAAATTCACGACGTTGAAATCGGAGGCCCGCATTTTCCGACTTAAGCCATCGAAATCCTTCTAATTGACTAAACAGTTCAACGTTTACTTTTTTTCCAGGTGAGAGAAAAGAGACAAGGTGCAGGTAAGATAATAAGGACAAGTTATCTTTTTCATAGGAAATACAAATAATATATCTAGGGATAAAAGCCAGTAAACCAACAGTAAAAAAAAATAATAATAACATATCTCCTTCTCCTTTAAACAGGTCTACTTGTCACACTGCATAAGTCTATGCAACAAAATTATGATATTTAATGAATATTGAGCGGCCAGGTTATTACAAAATGATATCGGCTTTGTAACCAATGTACCTAATTTTCTATCATAGTTGCGTATATCCTAAAAGACGTCTATTCATACTTAATTCTTATAGCGATGATACTTTCTCATATTTATGTAACACATAAATAGGGTACCGAATGTTAATAGTTTTTAAATAAAATTTTAGGTACTCGGTTTCCATAGATTCGTCTCAGATATTTGACAAATACCAAAACCGCCCTAGTAGCCAAAATATGGTTTATAATACCTTACAAGATACGTAAAAAATACCTATTCAAATACCTATCAAATAGGGTATTAAATAGCTGAAAATAGGTATAAAATACCATATTAAAATATCCTATAAAGTGTCCTTTTTTAAAGTATACAATACCATATAAAATAGGTATAAAATAGGGTAGTATTAAATACCATATTAGATGGGTATAAAATGGGGTAGATGTCCCAAATGATGGGGTACCATTTTAAATGTGTAAAAAGTAGGTTTCTAGGTGGCCTGTACAAAAGATAGCATACGTAATACTTATGAAAATTATTTATTTTTTACACATGAATACAATACCAAAGGCTCAGAATACATCCTAGTAAAGAGAGGAAGAAAACTAAAAAATAAAAAGGAATATAAAAATAATAATATAGATCAACATCCTGACATAGGAGATTCTAGAATTAAGACATAAGAGAAAAGGAAAATGATGATTACTCATAGAATCAATTCGATCGACGAGTCTTTATTTATTCTTTGGATCAATGTAGAAAAACTGCTTTTAGGTAGTTTATTAAGTTAAGACAATGAAAAAAAAAAATATAGATGTCTCATTTAATAAAAGGCATTAATGCCTAAAGTTATCTGAATGGAATTTCTGATCATATACCCACTAAAGTTTAAAACAATTCGCAAATATTCATCTGATAAGAATCCGTTCACTTTAGAATTTGTTAACATGTTAGTCAACAAATATGCAGAATACTTGGACTGATTTGAGTGTTTGAATGCTTTACAGAAATTTGTGATTTTGGTGCGGAGCCTAATTTGATATTCTGCGATTGGAGTAACAGAAACTCAACTATATTAAGATGGGAGCTGGGTGCAGGAACCTTAGCAAACTGGATTGGTGGACCCAGTAAAGATGCAGGCAGTGATGACAACAGCAAGGGTATGCATCTACACCCGTAGTTTAAAAATGAGGACTTGAGCGCAAAAGTTAAAAAGCCAAATTAAAGAGAAAACTATGAATTAACTTATAGCTTTATGGGGTTGTGATTGGACCAGTTGGCAACGCTGTAAAAAGTACTACAACTTGCTCCTTCAATCTTCGGGTTATGCAATGAAAATAATATTGAGTTATACATACATATTGCCACTCCAACCTACGGGTTATGCAATGGTGCATGTTGCCCCTTCATTTTGTTGGTTAAAGAATTGTGTATGTTGCCTCTTCAACTTGTAGGTTATGCAACAGTGTTGCAAGATGATGCCAAAAATAAATGATTTAATTATTGGTGAAACTTGACAACATCGATTTGTAGAGTGTTGCCAGATGGTTTGAGGAAATAAATCATGTTTGCTGTGTTGTCAGATTGTGCGAAAAATGACCAATTTTCACGTAAAAGTGTTGCCACATTGTGCTAAAATTAATCGCTTTCGGATTTGAGATTCACAGCCTTTAATTGCTTGATACTATTTTCCACTAGTGATAAATTCGTGTTTTCTTTGATTTTCTCCAATAAAGCTGTCCTAAATTCATAGCTTCCGTCCACCTCGAGTCTGTCTATTGTTTGTTCTCGGCTTCGGTATCTTTTTCTGGGTCTTACAGTTAACGGATCCGTTTGTTCGATACGAGGTACTTCCTGTCGGAATCCAGTAAGAAACCTTCACCTTCGGGACCCTGCTTCAAGTTGCGGACGTAGACAGGGGTCGAGAGGAGTTGAAATCAATTCGATCGCCCTCCGAGTTTGCGAACGACCAAGCGTCGCTTTCCGATCGAAATATTCGATCAAGAGGCCTGAGCAGGTAAAAGAATCCCGGATCCCGAATCCTGAACTCGGAGGCAAATGGGGCGATTATTGTTCACGTTTGAGGAACGAGAGGCAATAGCGCGGGCCAACTGGTTAGTTCTTGAGATAGGATATAATTTCTGGCCGGATTGACATGCCCTCGTAAGACAGGAGAGAATTAAAACACGATCTCGATTGCCCTCCTCGAAAGACGCTCACGGGGCTTCCGATTGAATTGATCTGGATCGGCTGCGCTTGTGCCCGTAAAGGCATTGGACTTTACCCCCGGATTATTTCCTTTACTGCTAGTCCGCACACGGTGGACCGCGACAGCCGCTCACTCCTTTCTTTCACTTTGGCATTGATTGTGATCATGCGTTTTTCCCCTTTTACTTTCGTCCTCTACCCTGGCTATTTTTCGCCGGTCGTATTTCACGCGTAAACTGAGGGCTCGTCGCTTTCTGACTTCTGCACATCTAAACATCTATTCCTTACGGCTGATCCATTAATATATGGACCACTAGACAAGTGACAAATTGAAGGGAGGGGCTAGTTTATGTCCTCCCCCCCCCCCCGGTACATGTAATGTCCATTTTTCTTCTACTTTTGTCGGGGTACTTTGGAGTAGGCTTTCTTGGCCTTTTACCTTATTTGGCCTATTTGAATTTTTTTAGTCCCTTAACCGTCCGATAGCAATTGAAAAAAGAATATCAACCAAAAGTATATATCTTAAACTTGAAGTGTTAAAAAAAAATCGAAAATCGGAGAGACTGTTTTTTAGACAATTCAGTTTGAACATTGAATGGCGAAAAAATAGTAAATCTTAAAAAACCCTAAATTACGGTCATTTAAATAATTTTTAGCTCAATTTCGATGGCAGATTTAGAATCTACATAAAACATTTGTCTAGACAAATGTTTTTAAGGTTTGATGGATTAATACGGAGGCTCACCATGGACAGTCAAAGAGAGGGAAGTCGAGAAAATGAGAAATAATAAAACGGGCTTATTCGTACATCAAATATCGCTAAAATTCATCCCATAACTTCCCTGATAAATTAAGTAATTAAAATTAGTAAATAAAATTAGTTGTGTACTTTATATAAACGGAATAATGAAGGATATTATAGTAATTCAATTTAGTAAATCAGCGGATTTCGAGGTGGAAAAAGAAAAAATTTTATCGCTGATAAAAAGAGAATTTCCTGCTCTGGCATTGTCGGGAAAAAAGAGCATCAAAGTGTTATCTTGTTTGAAGAAAATCAATATGGAAAAATACCTTGCATTTTTAGAAGAGGAGTTAGGATACCGAGTACCTAAGTCAGCTGATGACTTGTTAGTGCAAATAAATTCGACGGAACAATAATTGTAAAGCAAGGTTTTCCTGCGCCTCGATTATTGAATCGTTTATCGAATGAAATCGATCGATAACTCCCTATCTTCACTGTGCTGTATATCGATCAAGGTCATTCGATAACGATTCAACAATCGACCCGCTGGAAGACGAGGTCCCATATGACGGTCTGGAGAGTACTTACGGACATCCCTCAAAAAATACTTTCGGACAAGCAAGCAGATCTGAAGAAACATCTGAGTAAACTAATGAAAGAAGGTTAGAGAAGGAGCTTGCGAAACACGGAGTGTCTTATGTTTATGCCCGTACAAAGGACGCGGCGGACGTTCTAGCTAAAAAGGGATGGAACCTTAGTTCTGCCTCCCACGGCGATGCAGGAGGTACTGAAGAAATTTGAAAAATTGGAGAGAATATTATCCAACCCAATGAAGCAATCACTAAACTATGAAATGGACGTAAAAATATTTCTTCTTCAGAACGATACGATTGGTGCGTGAAAATGTACGAAAGGTCAAGCAAGCAAAGAAAATTGGGAAATTAACTTCGAAGTCAACGACACAAACGAACGCAGTGCAAGGAGGTTCGGAGCTTGTCACAGAGCTGAAACATTTAACAACATTGATAAACAAAACATGCAAGTAGGAGAAAGTTATATTGCGGATTTCCTGTGAGTAATTTTAAATTTCATGTACTGCACTAATCTCTTTCAAATTTTAATCCTCATTGAACCAAATTAAGGACAGAAAATTCTTAATTCAATTCACTGTGATTCATGATTGACCTAAACATTAAATCTGATATAATACTTATAATGTATAATATAATAAATTCTTTTTTTTGTGTTTCTCTGAAAAGCTCCGAAATTTAAGTAAGAAACATAAATAATCTTAGTTAAATTCTCTTGTTAAGTTACGTGTGAAAAAGTTAGAGAAATTAAAGACTTAAGTAAGAGAAAATTATATTTAAACGAATTTTCTGGAAGTAATTCTTAATTGCATGTACTGCACCAATCTGTTCGAAATTATAATGCTCATTGAATCCCATTATGGACAAGGAAATTCTTAATTCGATGCACAGTGATTCTTAATCGACATAAAAATTAAATCTAATATAATAATTATAATATGTAATATGATATAAGAAATATACTATAATAAATATAATAATTATAATATATAATATTATATAATAAATATAATGAATTCTTTTTTTGTGTGTTTTTCTGAAAAGCTCCGAAATTTAAGTAAGAAACATAGATAATCTCAGTGAAATTCTCTTGTAAAGTTACGTGTAAAATTAGAGACAACTTAGTTAAGTTTTTTAGATTATTATGTCATAGGTAATGGTAATTAATTAGAAAATTCAAAATAATGAGTTCGTAAATCAGGGAAATTACTTGGTTTATATCAGTGCTGTGATCCTACACTTGAGGGCAGAGTAAGATCGTCTTTGAGCAATGAATATACTTACATGATATTTAATTTTTTTTTGTGATACCGCAATTTTGAATTAGTTTGCGTAAGTAGTTGTTTTCTGTTCCTTGAGACTAGAATATTACTGAGGACATAGTTGTTGAAAATTCTGTTTAACGTAGCTTTTATAGCCCAAATTTACGAAAATAGCATTTTGTCCTTGAAATAAGTATAACGTAAATCGTCTTGTTCCAGTCAAAGCTTTCTTTTTTGTTCAGGTTACGACTCTATTTTCGTTTCTTAGTAAAATTTTTTGAGTGTAATGTGATCACCTTCTTAAATTTTATAACCTAACTCAAGGTTACGACTCTATTTTGTTTCTTAGTAAAATTCTTTGAGTGAAATTTTATCACGGGCAGTGTTCCAGTCAAAAACTCTTCTACAATTTACTGTTCTATTTTAAGACGGTAGACATAGTTAATTTAGCGACAGGTGTTTATGCATGTTATTGATTATTATAAGACTTAATTTATGTATTTTAATTTCTTACTGAAAAAAAAAAATTAATAAAATTACTTCAATCCGCATCAGCTTGGGAGAGAAATTCTTTTTTGGGAGATTTTTTTTTGGAAAGGAAATCTTATTCAAGATTCCCTTTCATCCGAGTGGGAGGAATGTGATGCGGCTCTCTTCCGAGCAGAGAAAGAGAGGGCAGAGAGAAGATAGCAGCGCGCATGCGCGACTGCAAAGAGAGGGGGAAGGGAGACGCATCGCTAGCTGCCACTCAAGTGACGCGGCGGCAGGTCAGTCTTGAAAGCATGGCCCAATGAGACTAGGTCTGTCCTTCCGAAAACGAAAATAAGACCTCTTCTGCGCATGACGTCAGCAGGAGCCCCTTCGAGCGGGAAGTTTGAAAACGGTAGGCTATCCCGGGGAGGGCAGGGAGCGGGAGGTTATCTTGAGTGGGCTCCTGCTGACGTCACGGCAAAACTCCGATAGGCGAGGGGCGGCTGTGCAGCCGCGCGGGCGGGGGGATCTGCGCAAGTACAGACCCAGTCTCATTAGGCTATGTCTTGAAAGGACCTGCCGACGAGAAAGACCAGCGCTTTTTTCATTTACTCATTTTCGGACAGGGCTCGCTGATTTGAATAGAAGGATCGTAGATCCTAAAACCTGTCTTTTAAGATATTTCCCCTGTTCCCATTTGACACTCCTGCTAACTATTCGTTCCCGGGTCGGTGCCAACGGCGACGACTAGTTCGGATGGTTAGAGTGGAGGACGAGTTCGTTCAGTTGTGATCTCAACGAGGTCGTGGGTGATCAGACCCGCCGTTACAATAACGACTCAAGGGTGCGTAGGTTTCGTTGAAACGCAAAATTCTCATATGTATCTGTTGAGGCATGGATTTTTGGCCTGCTGAGGAGTTGAGCAAATTAGAAACCATTACTCATAAGCTGATAAAGTTAGGAGGAAACACGATGAAACTGTAGAACTACTGATACTTTGAGAATATGTAAACAAAGACTCAACCTCAAAAAACTTTCACAGGAATATTATGAACTCAATTTCCAAAAAGTCTCTGTGGCTCATGAATTTTTTAATCATAGGTATAGGTTCTCCAACTGGATAAGAGATGGCCGTAGTGATCATTTGACGAAATGGGTTTTCTACTTTAAACTATCTACCTAATCTCCAATTTCTGCCGAGGAAACTTTTCCCGCTACTAATGAAGCATTATTTTTTTAGGAACTCACTGGAAAAATACAAGGACGTTCATTCCTATATTTTTTACCTTTCCTCTCCTACCTGTAAAACTTAACTCTGTCTTAAAATTTTCAACTTAAATCTTTTGGATTTTCTTATCCACTCGTAAGACCAAATTCTGTATCTTGAGTCACGGATTGTTGAATTGACCAAGTGGTATCTTCAATCTATTGTCACCGGCAGGGATACCGAACTGAAGCAAGGTATCAAAAGTTGCAGAATCAGGTTGCAGAAATGAAAACTTCCTCATATACATGAAACTTTCAATATCAATAGCTATTCCCTCTGAGCCATTTTACCTATTCATGGAATCAACTAAATATACAGGGTGATCCAAAAGCCCCTTCCACCCCCTCTAACTTTTTACCTAATTGAGGTAAAGATTTGAAACTTGGGGGATATTCCTAGGTCAAAGGGAGCTACTTTTTGGCCCCCTAAAATTTTCAGGGGGGCCCCCCTTGGGGGGCAACGACCCCCAACTTTTAATTTTCAAATGGGAAGATCCCCTTTGTGATAGCTCGTTCGAAAAAGCATAAAAAAAGAAAACTTTTCGCGCAAACCCGAAGTCAATATCTTAAACCGTTTCAAAATGGCGGCCGGTTAAAGTTCAAAATGGCCGAAAATTCACACCGGTTATTTGTCGATGGATTTGCGCGAAAATCAGTATGTTGGGGTATTTTGACACGAGAAAAACGAATTTGACGTTAGATTTTCAAAAAAACCGAAATTTCCAAAATGGCCGCCGGTTAAAGTTCAAAATGACCAAAAATTGATTTTTTTAGAAATCTAAGTTCAAATTTGTTTGTCTTATGCCATGATACTCTCAAATTTCAAGTTTTAGGCAAATCCATCAGCGAAAAACCGAGGTGACAATTTTCGGCCATTTAAAACTTTAACCGGTGGCCATTTTGGAAATTTCGTTTTTTTTGAAAATCTAACGTCAAATTCGTTTTTCTCGTGTCAAAATACCCCTATGTACCGATTTTCGCGCAAATCCATCGACAAATAACCGGTGTGAATTTTCGGCCATTTTGAACTTTAACCGGCCGCAATTTTGAAACGGTTTGAGATATTGACTTCCGGTTTGCGCGAAAAGTTTTCTTTTTTTATGCTCTTTCGAACAAGCTATCACAAAGGGGGTCTTCCCATTTGAAAATTAAAAGTTGGGGGTCGTTGCCCCCCAAGGGGGGCCCCCTGAAAATTTTAGGGGGGCCAAAAAGTAGCTCCCTTTGACCTAGGAATGTCCCTCAAGTTTCAAATCTTTACCTCAATTAGGTAAAAAGTTAGAGGGGGTGGAAGGGACTTTTGGATCACCCTGTAGGTCCTCGTTTATTAGACGATGCGACGCATGAAAGGATGCTAGACGAAAGCAGTATCTATTCTTATTGTAAGTCATAAAATCAGGTCGTAGGATGAAAACTTCCTCACATATGGAGGTGATGTAGCTTTCAACCTCATCTCCTACATCGTCCGGTCGAACATTATCATCTTACGGAAGTAACGGTGAAACCTTGTTTTATCGTGTCAAAGCGAGTCCTTAAGGAAGGTTATTACTGAAAAGAAGCCAACAGTAGCCAATGTTTAAAAGAGGATCGATCCGCTGAACATGGAAGGAGTTTATCGTACCTACGGTTATTCTAGGAGTTATGAGTTATCTAACATGCAGTTTTTCGGATATTCGTAAGAAGGATAACCTAAGAATATCAGGATATTCATAGGATATTCGGAGGATAATCGAAATCGGAAGATATTCATAAGATTTCTACTGCTTGGTAGGATAGCAATATTTTCTATTTAAAATTATGCCTACTAGATTTTAGAAGAATGCACCCCATTAGCAGGATTTTGCAATATCTATTCGAATATAGTAACAACTGCTAGTTTACTTTTTTTTCCAGGAGGCTATATTTTCTTTGAGACTTCTTTGCTAGCTGCACCAGTCTTGCGAGTTGAGGACATTGGAGTTAGAGATGGCCAAAATGCCTACATTGAAAGTGCCATTCAGATGTCAACAGGAGCAGAAGGAAAATGTGTCTCTTTCAGGTAATTTCTTAACGCTTGAATGAAAAGGGAAGATTTTTATGTTACCTAATGGTATCGGTGTCGTACCTATGCAAAACATAAATCAAGCATTTTGTCAAATACCGAAGCAAATAGTCAAATACTTTTACTTTCATTGATTTTTGTCAAAATAATGAGCTTGTTCAGTAATCTTTAATCACCGCATTTTGGAAAACTATAGGGAGTGCACTAAGTTAACAGGAATTTTTCCCGATTTGTTGAGCAATGTTAACCCACGAAAGACGAGCTCAAAGCAGCGTATTTTGAGCTTTAACGCCTTAAACGTGCGTCGCCGGATCATTCAAGATGGCAGCCTTGCAGATTCGTCGGAAGATGGCCACACTATTAACCTCACGGGCAGGCGTGGTACCTCCGGTGCGTTCAATAGTTCGAGAAAGTAATAAATAAACAACTTCTTATCAATCGAAGTATCGCCACCATGATCCATCTATATAGGTCAGTCATTGCGCAGACTTTCCCGCTCAGGGTCGTCCCTGACCATTGAATCGTGACGTCAGTATTACTGCCGCACATACCAGTACTGTCCGAAACAATTATTTTCTTATGGGAGCATACTAATACTTGGGTATAAAAAAATCACGTAAATTTCTGACTTTTAAATCCTTTGAAACTTTCTGAGTGTCAAAAGGAACGTTTAGACACTAGCATTCGGGATTCCGATTTTGTCAAATTCGTGTCTTGGCGCGTATACGTAGTATACCGCCTTTGCGATCGTTTCGACCCCCCCACTCGATACAATAACCGAGTCCCTTAGTTCCTTACCGGAAAGTGACTGCCGCGAACTTCTGAGATTTTCCAAAGCGTGTAAAAAGTTTACTAATCCGTCAATAATTATGATTTAAAGTTTTTTCTCATTCTGGGGCTTTCTAGTTTATGTACAATGAATACCAAGAGTCTAAGTTACTTGGTTTTTTTTTTAAAAAAAACCTAAGAATGCTCCGCGCTATTTTAAAATATGCATATACATATAAGCAGAAGCAAACGAACTGATTCGAGGATTGCTGAGCAGGTCAGCACTCTTCGAATGAGAATTTCACTCCTCCGTTTTGTTTAAAACTTTGCATATCTACGTCCTAAACGTTGACAGTTATCTACACAACCCCTGTTATGCTTTTCAAAATTTGGTACCACTGCTCTGATAGCCAGGGCCAGCCAGGACAGCCGTAAGTGCGATCTGTGATGAGCCTCAAAACTCATTAGACCATGTGCTAACCATTACACATGCAGAAATCAATTCGCTTTTACAGAAATCCACTTACCCTTCTCCTCCCCACACACCGGACCTCTGTCCCGAAACGAGGCAGTTTCTATTGTTCCTCCCGAGCGACCCGACCCGGACCCTCGCCCGATTATTTACGCTTGATTAACCATTTCACCGTCACGCTAGGATTCGTCCAATTTTCAAAAAAATTGTTTCCCGTGTACTTCGAAATTTTTTCCTTACTCTCCGTTAAAAGACGAATTAAAAGAAGTCTCATTCATAAAAATCGGCCGAACAGAAGAGAAGTTACAGTATTCGAAATACGAAGAAATCAACAAAACTTCCCCATACAAAAAATAAAATAGAGGGGAAAAAAGAAATGTTTAAATTACAATTAAAATATAATTGATCTCAGAATATGACAAGCAATTCAATTATATAACTGAGAAAAAATTGGGAGATTAAATTACAAAAAATTCGCCTCTTGCAAGGGGCTTCCTTGTAAGAATTTTGACCTGAGGACAAGGGTTGATAAGCAGCGGTACTTCATACAATACACGGTGTGCCTGAACGAATACATTTTTTTTTGTTTGTCAAAATCTAAAATTCTTTACCTATATTTTTTAACTACAGTGTCTCTTCAGTCGTTTAAGCCAACAAAAAAAAATTCCGTCAAGATTCTGGAAAGTAAAGGCGCTTTAAAAGTATTCTGGGGCTATAATAGCTAAATCACCGGGAGTAAATCCCGTTATATTATTAAAACGAAATTGACTCCATAGTCTAATGCCTTAGTTTCTTAAAATACGATTATTTTAAGCACTCAAACATTTATACCACCAATTTTAGCCATGGGTGTTTCCTGAGAGCCGATAATATCACGAATTTCTCATAGAATCTTTCAAAAATGGCTTGCTTTTTGGGCAGCCGATTCGGTCATGGAATGAGGATTTAAATGGAAGCTAATAATAACACAAAGCTCTGAGAAAAGTTTTGAGATGAGTATAGGAATGGTTTGTAAATAACGAGGAGAGGCAGGCAAAGCGGCCAAAATCCGATCTAATTTTTGCCGTTATTCTGTTGAATTGATGTTGCCGCGGACTGCTAACTGTGCCCACACATGGTTTCTGTTCAGCATATCGTTATGTAAGTATTTTTACACGTAGAATCTAATTTCACGTCAGGGAGTCGACGCATTTCGCTTTTTTCGATTTAATACGGAAAATTGATGGTTTTTCGGGATTAAAATTATTATTGTTTCATGAAAAATAAACGCACCCAAAATGACTATAGCATATCGACGGTGAAACTACCAAACCACGTATCTCGTTTGCGGTGTTTAAAAATCTACGCTCACATTTTATTTTTTTGAAGTAGACCAAATCAATATCATTCCTTGAAATTTTCACGGAATTTTTTCCGCACAAAGAGGAAAAATCACAGAAATTTTTAAGACTGGATGTTAAGTAGTTTTTCATTTAAAAAATAAAGTATGACAGGAAGTCTGCGACGTCGCAAATCGAGATACGTGGTTTGGTAGTTTCACCGTCGATATTGATTTTTACATATTTACACTCACGAAATTGGTTGGTAAATTCAACGAGTAGGTGCCATGGACCAATAGAATAAATAAGGACTCCCAACTCCCTATGCTACCCTGTGTTAAAAACCGTTAACGCGCGCTCGCAGCGAACCTGGCAGAGGGTGCGGTGAACTAACGCCGCAGCGGTCCACGATCGTACCTCTATAGTATGTTATTCCATGCAATGTTCTTTGTTTATCTATGATTTATTTATTTGTGTAGATACTTTAATACATTTTACTTTCGCAAACTAATGAAATTGTATAGATACATACCTTCGGCAGAGGTCAATGCGAAAGACTTTGATTTGAAGTATCTTATCAAAACACGAGCAAAGATGATTCAGTCAACTTCTGACGCAGAATCAAAGAGACTTGCTAATAATCAAATTAAAGGTAATGCTTGAAGTCAAGTATCTTTGATTTTGTGACACTCAGTTGATTTTTATCAGTACAACACTATTTCTCACTAAAAAGATTTCACTTAACGACACTGTTTCACTCACCTTCGGCTAAAAGTACAATCCTGATTCCTGCTGCACACTACATACACACTTCCTTTGGCTTTCTCAACAGCAGTTGCTGCTGAGTAAAACGGTTAGAAATGACACTTCACATTAATACCAGTTTGTGTACACGAAGACTGACGAAGATTGAAATGAAAATGGGAAACTTTTCACACTAAACTCTTCAAAACTGCAGGGCGACCACGAGGATACGAGGATCTGCTAGAAACTTCTATGAGCACTACTGAGTGATAAGCCTAAATAGGTGGTGCATGGAAATATAAACAGGAAGACCCAATCGTCGGTTTAGTTCACTACACCCTCTGCCAGGGAGCGCTGATGTCAGCGCTAACCGGAGTTGGGGGTCCTTATTTATTCTCTTGGTCCATGTAGGTGCATCGACCTGGTTGGTATATCAAGTTTCTGCAATTTTTTTTCGGCAGATCAGTAGATTTTCGGGATGTAGATTGCTTACTTTCAATTCATGAATGAATAAAGCATGGGCATGGTTGAACTTCTTTGCATGGAAATACGTTTAAAATAAGAAAATCAAGACATATTTCAATTGCATTTATATTGAGTCAATTTCTTTTCAATAATATAACGGGATTTATAATACCGGTGATTTGGATATTTTAGCCGCAAAATACCTTTAAATCGACTTTATCTTTCAGGAGTTCGACAGAATTTTTCCTTTTCCTCGCTTAAATTATTACGTTGCACTTTTCTTTAAGAATCTGATTAGATTTTGCTGAGGGCAGATCAAAAAACTTAAACTCGTTCGAATGGCTTTCTACATTCACAATACAAGGTCTCGTCAAAGTACGTCGTTGACCTCGCAGTGTTGGATCGTATAAATTCTCTTGCTGTGCTACTTGCCTATATTGAAATCTCTGTAAATGAAAACTAAAGGGGTTGATATGTGCGAGTTAATGACGCGCCTTATTAACACATTGTGTTGGAGTTCGCACTGCTTGTTTTTATTTACACCTGTAGTTGACTCTGCATTACCCATTTTTACACACTAAATTCATATCGCAAAATGGCTCGCACAGGGTTGACTTCAAAAATCATTTAAAACTATTAAGACGTAAATTCGGTCAAATCAAGCCCTGAAAGCCAATGTCGAAACGTGTTTTTCGACTCTCAAAAAGCTTAAAACATTTTAAAATTAAGAAATTTAAACGAATAAAAAATTAATCAAAATCAATAAAAATAAGTCTCCTCCCACAAGAAAAGTATTGATTCCCAGCTTCCTGGCTTTCTCGCCCGGCATCAGTAATACCTACTGACGTCACGCGTAGAAGATTCTCATTTTGTTTCTGGAACTGACTGACCTATATGAATAGATCTTGATCGCCCCCCCCCCTAATTAAGATGAAGGAATTATTTACGGAGAGTCTTCAGCGGTGCATAGTGGGAAATTTTTCCTCGCAGGGGCGGGCACCATCGATACGTTTTGATTTTTTGGTTCACGGCATTAGAGCTGTACGAGTGTACGGCTCCACATGAGTCCTCAAAAAAGTTCTCAAATTGGGCGCCCTTCAGGCGACAACCAATCCCATTAGAGCACTCTCAAACCTAGAAAGTGACGCCATAGGTGCTGCTTTCTGGTTGGTTGAGAGTGCTCTCAGTTCGTTTTTGGCTCGTTACCTGGATGTGCATGTAAGGCTTTG